GACATCAAGGGATGTAAAGATTGGGTAACGCTTTAGTTGAGGTCACAATTCATGGTACTAACAAACCATTAGCTAACATTTCTAGCTTAATAAACTACTAATTAGCTGTTAATTATTAGTTATTAAATTAGAAATTGGTTTTACCTTAAAATTAGGCATACAGAATAAGATCATACTTTATAATAACTAATAAACAGTTAATTTAATTTCAACAATACTTAGGTAATCAGCCAGTAGTTAAAAGCATGAATTGTGACCTAAACTAAAGTGTTACCAACAATTTTCTTTGCATAGCCATTCACGTTGTTTTAAATGTTGTTTCAAGTTGCAGTTTGAGCTGCTCACACTGTCATGGCAAAAACAGAAATGAGTCTTATATGAACAAAAAAAATCTGATTTTGGTGTCATGTGAGTCCTTATATAGCCTCTACTGTCACCATATCAATTGAACATCTATTGTAGATTTTGGACAAATGTGTTACACAGTGCGTTCCACTGTCATCAATATCAAAATTTTAACTATATCTTGTGGAAAAAAGTAGTGCTATATCCCTTCTGTAGAGCTCCAGAGACTTGTAGAATCAATGCTAAAGTATATTGAAGCTGCTCTTATCTCAATTGGTGACACCTTATGCTGGTTTTCCTTTAATTTGTCACCCATCTCTTGCATTTGACAGTTGTGTCTGTAAATGTTAAAAATTCACACTAAAACTATTTTTATTTTGCATAAAGTGAGTCACAGTTAAACTTCACAGTTTGTGTGCATGTCAAAGCAGATGGAGCGCTATAGAAAGAGAATGCAATTCATTTTGAGTATAATATATGCATTATTGATGACGATGATGATGAACAAAGTCAAAAATGTGGAAATACAGTGCACGGCCAAAAACATTTTTAGAGATCCACAAGCAAATATTTAAAAGTCTATTGTGGCAATTATTTTGGCTTGTTATGTTTTACAACCTGTTAACCCTGGCTTATGAAGTATGTAACTTTTTTTTTATCCCATGGTCTTATTCCAACATTACAATGGCTAAATTCAACAAGAAAAAAAAACTCATCAATATGTTGACCAAGTCTAGGCTTACTGAAAACACATGCAGCGGCCTACAATTTTGCCAAATTACTTTTTTAGTGTACATTTTGTTGCACATTTGAGATGACAGATCCATTAAAGGGTGCTAACTACATATTTGCAAATCTGAAATATGTTTCTTATTCTCCTTTTTGTTACATGTTTGAAATGACAGATACACCAGAGGGGGTTGTCTAATTTTTTGCAAATCTGAAATACGTAACTTAGTGTACATTTTGTTGCACGTTTGAGATGACAGATCTACTAGAGGGCACTGTCTACATTTTTGCAAATCTGTAATACATTATTTAGTGTACATCTTGATTAATGTTTCAGATGACAGATTCAGTAGAGGGCGCTGTCTACATTTTTGCAAATCTGAAATACGTTCCTTAGTATACATTTCGTTGCATGTTTGAGATGGCAGATCCACTAGAGGGAGCTGTCTACAGCTTCCGTTCGAATTACACCAGAATTACCGACCGCTTCCGCAATTCATTCTGAAATTTATTACCGAAATATGGTCGGCCCCCACGGTACAGCCGCGGGAATAGAAGAGCTATATCCAAAATTATCGATGTAACAGCCGAGAGGAGAGGAAAAGTCATGCCAGGTCAAATGGGCAACAGTGAAAGAGAGAGAGAGAGAGAGAGAGAGAGAGAGTGAAAGAGTTTACTTTCATTCTCTTAATCGCAGTGAAATATGAGCTTCTGCTGTAAGTGTCAGTGAAAGACTGTCCAGCAAACACACAGTGAAGTTGTGCACGGTTTAGAGTGTTGTGCAGTAGTTAGAGTGTTGTAAATAATTGCTCTTGCTTCCCTCACCATAGTAAGCTATTGCGACAGCGCATATGAGATAAATGACGTCAGTACATGATAACTGGTAATGATTATTAACTTAACCGATGCCGAATTGTCTGCGTCTGCATCGCGGTGCACCAAAATTTTGTTGCACATTTAAGATAACAGATCCACTAGAGGGCACTGTCTACAGTTTTTTTTTTTTTTTTTAATCTGAAATATGTTCCTAAGTGTACTTTTCGTTGCATATTTGAGATGAAAGATCCACTTGAGGGTGCTCTCTACATTTTTGTGAATCGGAAATGTGTTACTTGGTGTACATTTTGTTGCATGTTTCAGATGACAGCTCTACTAAAGGGCGCTGTCTACATTTTTGCGAACCTGAAATACCTTGCTTAATGTACGTTTCCTTGCACGTTTGAGATGACAGATCCACTAGCGGGTGCTGTCTACATTTTTGCAAACTGAAATTCGTTCCTTAGTGTACGATCCTTGCACATTTGAGATGACAAATCCACTAAAGGGCGTTCTCAACATTTTTGCAAATCTGAAATATGTTCCTTAGTCTCTGCTTTGTTGCATGTTTGAGATGACAGAGCCACTAGAGGGCACTGTCTACATTTTTGAAAATTTGAAATGTGTTCCTTAGTGTACTTTTTTGTACGTTTGAGATGACGTATCTACTAGAGGGTGCTATTTACATATTTGCAAACCAAAACTACATAATTTAGTGCACAGTTTGTTGCTTGTTTGAGATGGATCTAGCATAGCAGGGCTGCCCAAACTCAGTACAGGAGGGCCGTTGTCCTGCAGAATTTAGTTCCAACCCCTATCAGACACACCTAGGCTAGCTGATCAAGCTCCTACTAGGCTTTCTTTGCAGGTGTGTTGAGGCAATTTGGAGCTAAAATCTGCAGGATACCAGCATTCCAGGATCAAGTTCCCTTCAGCACTAGAGGAAGCATTTCACATTTTTGCAAATCTGAAATTCGTTACTTAGTGTACGTTTCATTGCATGTTTGAGATGACAGATCCACTAGAGGGCGCTGTCCACATTTTTGGAAATCTGAAATTCGTTACTTAGTGTACGTTTCATTGCATGTTTGAGATGACAGATCCACTAGAGGGCGCTGTCCACATTTTTGGAAATCTGAAATTCGTTACTTAGTGTACGTTTCATTGCATGTTTGAGATGACAGATCCACTAGAGGGCGCCGTCCACATTTTTAGAAATCTGAAATACGTTCAATAGTAAACATTTTGTTGCACATTTGAGATGACAGATCCACTAAATCCACTGTCTACAGTTACAGTTACAAATCTGAAAAGTGTACGTTTTGTTGTACGTTTCACAAACACATCATTGTACTCGTCCACGAGAAGGTGGGGCTTGTCACAGATCACTTATTTGTGCAAAGAACTATACTAAAATAACTATTTATTTGTCAATAATCTTAGTGTATGTTTCATTGCATGTTTGAGATGACAGATCTACTAGAGGGTGCTGTCTACATTTTTGCAAATTTGAAATGCATTATTTAGTGTTCATTTCGAATTATGTTTAAGATAACAGATCCAGTAAAGGGTGTTGTCTACATTTTGCAAATCTGAAATACATTCCTTACTGTACGTTTTGTTGCACTTTAAGATGACAGATCCACTAGAGGGTGCTGTCCACATTTTTTTGAATCTGAAACACGTTTCTATAGCTGTGTCTCAAAAGGCTCACTATACACTATGCACTCATGCACTATATACTTATGCACTAACACACTCAACAGCATATGTATGTAGTGTTGTCCCAAATGGCACACTAATATTTTCCTACTAAGCGGAAATTCAAACCATTTCCCTGATGATGTTTGACGGTTGCCAAATCAGTGAAATAAATAACCAAACAATCAAATAATACCTCCCATGAGTATAACCACATTCACCATCGGGAAGCACTATAATATCTCGTAGGAGAATTTTGCTTTCACCATCCAAAATAAATAAAGTTATCCAACATGTGCGACCGATAGCTCCGCCCCTTCCGCTACATGAGCAAAACTGCGTCGTTGAGTGTGTGAAGTGTCCATCATTACACACTTAATTTTACTGGCTGAATGAGTGCATCATCCGGGTAATTAAAGTGCACTTACTATTTTTAGAGTTTTTAATGTGAACGCACTACTTACACTATTTATACTACAAAATGGCAAAGAATAGTGCATAGTATGCGATTTGGGACGCAGCTTATGTGTATGTTTTGTTGCACGTTTGAGATGACAGATTCACTAGAGGGCACTGTCTAGATTTTTGCAAATCTGAAAAGTGTACGTTTTGTTGTAGGTTTCAGAAACACATCATTGTACTCGTCCATGAGAAGGTGGGGCTTGTCACAGATCCTTTATTTGTGCAAAGAACTATACGAAAATAATAATTTATTTGTCGATAATATATCTCTGTAAATATTAATGTGAATAGAAACACAAGTCGTTGGTGCCTTACTGCCCTGTAGTGTTCATTTTACCTAGAATCTGCTTTCAAACATATTGAAAGACAATAATATTGGCTGAAAAAAGAATTTAAACAATGAATGCTTTGGGATTTGCTGGAGTAAACGGCTTCTGCTACTACAGACTTGTTTTTGTTTGTCAGGTTTAGATACTGTAGCTAGCCAATTTTACATCACATTTAGCTTTGGGTGTGCTATGGAATCATCATGAAATTGTTTTAACAACCTTATGCTGTCACGGTTTATTAGCATCAAGAGTTTCATTTCACAAAACAAAATATTTTGTTGATAATGGAAGTACATCCAGTATCTGAGCACTGTTTTATATAAAAAATAAAAATCTTAACACTTGATCATTTGCATTAAAGTGAATAATATGTAATATGCCAGAAACATACAGTATTAATAGCTGCAATACTGTGATCATAAAGCTGATACAAACTATAGAGATGAAGTGTTTTGGGGTGAATTAACTTTCGAGTGGTCTGCTTATACAGTAGCTGTCCCAACATGTTAAGCTAAGAGAAAAGAAATCAGCTCTAAGGTGTTTTTTTATTATTATTATTATTCTCATGCTCATGTCTGGCACTGCTGCATCTTCTGACTGCTTTTTTATGCCTTTCAGACTTGAATTTAAAAACTCAAACAAGAAGTGCTGTCTCAGTGCGAGAAGGCCAGGGGGTAGTTTTACTTTGTGGTACGCCATCATATGCAGGAGGTAAGCCTTTTATAGGGATACTTTTTTTAAGATTATAGTTTATACTTGCATAGAAATGCTTTACACATGTGTGAAATAAAGAGTTTTGACTTATCTCTTTGCTTCATGGGATTTAGCATGTGGTTTGAATACTAAGAGATTGCAGACTTTTAGAGGACATATGACGCAAACACCTTAAAGAAATAGTACTAGATATTTACTCATCCTTAACTTGTTTCAAACTTGTTTGATTATTTATATATATTAAAATAGATATTTTTTTAAGAAAACTTGACAACTGTCATCAACTCTGTAATCAACAACTGCATTTAAACTCTGAAAACTGTATTGACACAGTTTCAATTTACTAAAACTTCTGTGTTAAGCTGCTTTGACACAATCTACATTGTAAAAGCACTAAAGATTTAAGGATGAATTGAATCGGATTGAATTGAACTGCAATCACTGACATCCATATTTGGGAGGTTTTTCTACTATGGAAGTCAATGGTTACAGGTTTTCAGCTATCTTCAAAATATATTTCGTGATTACAAGTAGCAGGAACTCATAAAGAAAAATGAAAAATGAGTAAATAATGAATGCATTTTCATTTTAAATGAACGATCCCTTTAACACTATATATACACGCACAGGCTTTTCAAGTGTTTCTTGCATCTTGAAGCCTCTAAAATGCTTTGCATGTTGGACCCTGGACCACACATGATTCATGAGACCCATATATTTTTTGGGGATACACTAAAAAATACATTATATGGATCAAAATTATGTTTTTTATTCCAAAAATCATTAGAATATTAAGTAAAGATCATCTTTCATGAAAGTATTCTGTAAATGTGCCATTTCATGTAGACAACTTTAAAGTTGATTTTCTGAGTATTTTTGTAACACTTTAGAATAATGGTATATCAATTAATGTATTTACTAACATTAAGTAGGAATAATCTTGTGTAGCATTTATGAATCATAGTTCAACATTTACTAGCCATGTTTTCATCCAAAGATGCAAATTAAATTTACATAGGAATACTGGATTATCGCTTAAAAGATGTGCGAATAAAGCAACGTTTCCATCAAACGAGTCAAAGCAAACAAAATCCTCACCTGATTAACTGAGGCCAAATATCAAAAAATAAATAAAAAGTTGGAATTTGCAGTGGATGAGGAGCTGCGTGAATCTTTTTTTTAATTTAAGAATATACTTGTGCCGCACAGACGCGAAGCACAGATGATTATGACAGTTCTGGAGGTAGTTAATAATATAATGACACCAATACTTAAATGAAAATGTATCATCACATGATCTTCACATGACTTTTTTAATGCACATACTGGATTTTGTTCAGTAAAAGTGTTTCTGTCATAGTTTATGCAATTTTTTTTTCTTTTTGAATAAAAAGTTTATACAACTCAGTTATGCCATTACATTTTTTATGCGTATTTTCAAACTTTATGAACATCTTGGTGTTTCCATCAAACACTTTTCATGTGCAAATTCAAAATGCACATAAAACTAGGTGGATGGAAACTCATTCATTAATTTTCTTTTCGGTTTAGCCCCTTTATTGATCTGGGGTTGCCACAGTGGAATGAACCGCCAACTTATCCAGCATATGTTTTATGCTGCAGATGCCCTTCCAGCTGCAACCCATCACTGGGAAATATCCATATACACTCATTCACTAAGGACAATTTAGCTTACCCAATTCACCTGTGAACTGGGAAACCCCACGCTACCCCACGAAAACCCAGGCTAACACAGGGAAATCATGCAAACTCCTCACAGAAATGCCAACTGACCCGGCCGAGGCTCTTGCTGCACTACCTACTGCGCCACCAGGAAACAAAGCTAGTAATGTATTACTAACATCCACATCAGTTAATGCACTGTGAGTTAACAGGAACTAATGTTATTTAACTTAAATAACGTTAAAAAAAATTGATGTGAAATTTCACAAACTAATTTTGAGAGGACCATGTGATATGATTGACAACGCTAATCATTAGCTAGCCTATCGCATCATTCCAAAATCACTATAAATATCCTGCCTGAACTTCATTCCCTTCCCCATCTTCGTTTTGAAAACCCCCCCTATCCTTTTTTTCTCCCTCCATCTAAGCTCTAGGATTGGGTGACACGACGGCTCAGTGGCTGGCGCTGCTGCCTCGCAGCAGAAGGGCTATGGTTCAAGTTCTAATTGAGCCAGTCAGCACTCTGTGTGAAGTTTGCATGCTCTCCCCGTATTTCCATGGGTTTTCCCCGGGTACTCCGGTTTCCTCCCACAGTCTAAAAACATGTACATAATCGAATTGTAATAACAGTCACAAGCACTTAACACATACATACTGAATCGATTCTTATAGAACCAACTTATCAGCCAAAGTATTAGTAAAAAACAAACTGGAGGGCTCTCGAAAAATACTTAACCTCGTATCCCTCCTAATGCTAATTGACCAGGCGGGAACCTCGGGCTTATTTATCTCTGAACTCAGGGTTTTCTCCCTGTACAGCATGTAAAACCTGCTATAATAGTCGAGCATTATCTAAGTCTGAATTTTTGAAATATAGGAATAAATGTATTAATTAACATGCTTTTTCATGTTAGTAAGTACATTAATATTAACTTATGGACCATTATTTTGAAGTCTCACCCATATGTAGGTTTTCAAATACAGTATTTGCATATTTTTCAGATTATATATATATATATATATATATATATATATATATATATATATATATATATATATATATATAATAAAAAAATAATAATAATAAATAAAAAACATTTAGGACTGGTTTTGTGGTCCAGGGTCACATATTTGTTGGATTGAATGTCTTTTAATGAAGTGTGTAAGTCTCTTAATCTTTTTAGTATATGAAATTGACACCAATGGGTCAGATTTACTTTATTTATTTATTTATTTATTCATTTATTTATTTATTTATTTATTTATTTATTTATTTATTTATTTATTTATTTATTTATTTATTTATTTATTTATTTATATGTTTGTTTGTTTGTATTTTATAAAAATGTGTGCAACACAGTTTCACCATGTGAATCGGGATTTTGGATCAACTTGGGTCAGACTTCAGAAGTGCTATTAAAATCTGAGACTGTGTTAATGATAATACTAAAAAAAGTACAAAGTATGTCTCATTTTCAAAGAGCTGATTTGTTTTGAATTATATATGTTCTGTGCCCTTCTTCTTTCCAGACCTCTCATTTGCATGGGTCTTTAACGAGTACCCTTACTTTGTTCAGCAAGACAATCGACGCTTTGTCTCTCAGGAGACGGGAAACCTTTACATCGCCAAAGTGGAGCCTTCGGATGTGGGCAACTACACGTGTGTGGTGGTAAACCGCATCACTAAAGGCAAAGTCCTCAGCTCCCCGACACCTCTGGTACTACGAACGGATGGTAAATTACTTTCTCTTTTTTTTTTCCTGGTGTTTTCCAATTTAGTAGGCAGCAGAAGCTGAATCATAGCAGCAGTTAAAAGGTTTGATTGACCTGTTAATGCATTTGGAGGATTGTGTCAGAACGCTTAAGCCGGGTTCACAGTACAGGAGTTTTAGGCTGATTTATCCCTCATTTACCTCTTCTCACTGTCTGAGGAAAAAAACTCTTGTTTAGATCCTTTTGTGGGTTTTGAGGCATTTACAAATCACGTAAACCACTGACCTGCTTAGAGCACATTTAGACTGCCCTTATATAATATTAAGCGTATGATATTTAGGATTTTAACCCTGTAAAGTCTGACACATCAAAAAAAAATAAGCAGAAAATTTACATTTTCTGGAACTGAGATATATATTAAACTATGTAACAAAAGCAAAAAAAAATTATAATATATTTATATATATTTATTTTGTATCACATTTTGCTCACAATAATGTTAATTGTATTTTTAAAATTAGCATTGCAATGATTAGGACAAAGATTGGATCTGTATTCTCACAAAAGTCAGTGAAAGATTTGCCTTTAAAACAACAATTGAATTTATAACCTTTAAAAAATGCGGGCCCCTATCATACAGCCGGCGCAACAAGGCACAAGACATGTTTGGCGTGATTTGTTGCTATTTTCAGACCAGCACAACCCTAATTTTCACGTTTTGCGAAACGTTGTTTACACCACATTGTGGACTCATGGGTGTGGTGGTCTTAAAAAGGAGTTGTGTTGAGGCGTATTGTCGGCGCGTTGCTATTTTGAGTAATAGACTGTCTTTGGCCAACTAAAAGCTGGTCCAAAGTCCTGCACAGAGCGAGTTTGTAATGCGCCTATGTGAGTCCAAATGCTTACACATTGCTTAATACACAGAGGATGTACAACAATACACAAATATTAATATAAATAAAATATTAAATATTTCTTAAAAAAAATTCTTAAAAACTTACACATTTCCAAATAAATATAAAAACCAAGACTTCTATGCTTTCTTCACCTCAGGTGGGCTTTTTTCAGTTTTTTAATGACAATTTGCATTTCTATAATATTATTATTAGCAGTATTTTTTAGATTAGTTTAGATTTGTCCACCTGTCGGGTTTTGGAGATGTTTGCATCACCGTATGGGGCTTAAGAATAGGACGTGTGTTTGGATATAACTCAGTTGTTTGAACACGCTTCATTATTATTGTTCATTTATTCGTTTGCTGGAAATTAGAACTGAATTTAGAAATAGTTTTGAAACAAATATTTGCACCTAAATGTAATTCAATATGTAGACTAATGAATTTCTTCGGTGGAGTGCGTACAAAATTATTTTTTATTACTTTATGAAAGTAAATGAGTAAAGTAAAGGAGTAAATGTAAAGAGAAAGAGAAGAGGCAGAATGGAGGAGGCTTGTTCTTTATTCTTGCACTGCAGATGCTCTGTTTAGTTCAATTTACAAAGTCCGTCATGTAAATAACAAATATGCCATGGCGCGACGCAACTGACTCTTAAAGGGAATGGGAGATGAGACTCTGACTGGTTTAATGCACATTATGCTCAAAACACACCCATAACTCAGTAAAAGAATCAGCAAACTCTGTTAGACCCTGCACCATGGCCTTAAAAAAGCAAAAGTGGATTTAAACACGCAATTAATGCTTTTGCACCATGCGTTTTAGACTTTATGCTTAGATTGTTAAAATAGAGCCCTCAAAATAAGTGTATGGACAAATAAAACATTAATAATATCTTGTACTGCAATAAGTAATATGCCTCAGCTTACAGATTTGAGGATTCCTCGATGTGCAACCAGATTTAATAATTCAAAAACTCTTGTTATATGAGCCTGGGTGAAGGTTGACTCTATCTTTCATCTTGTAAATATAATATTTTGCTAAATAAAGTGCTTTAATTCTGTTATGAAGTAAAAATATATATAATTAAAGCATCATTAACTCACAGCCCTGCTAGAGTAATATTAAATATTTAATAAACTTCTCAAACTAAATTTTTTAATGGAACATGTATCTAGATAGATGTAGATAATAGTGGCAGGGTTTAATTTGGTTCACTTTTGCATATGACTTATTTTAAAACTTCAAGGATAAACCCAACTTAAGATTGTAAGTTTATTTATTAATTTAATTAGAAATACATTAATTATATAACATGTCTAGTTAACCTATTAACATATTTAAGCATTTAAATAATAATTTAAGCTACAAACTATTTATATATTTTCCTTTGGCTTAATCCTTTTAATTATTAGTGGTCACCACAGCGGAATTAACCACTAATTATTCCAGCTAATGTTTTTACACAGCGGCTGCCCTTCCATCTGCAACCCAGTACAGGGAAACAGCCATATGCTCATTTATTCACACAAATACACTACGGCCAATTTAGTTTATTCATTTCACCTATAGCGCATGTCTTTGGACTGTGGGGGTAACCGGAGCACCTGAAGAAAACCCACGTGAACATGGGGAGAACATGCAAACTCCAAATTGAAATGCCAAATTTCAACCAGAAAAGTTGACCCAACCGGGACTCAAACCAGTCACCATCTTGCTGTGAGGTGACAGTGCTAACCACTGAGCTATCTATCTTGCAACTAGTAACTAGTAAAATATGATGTACTGTTATAATGGCAAAGACAAAAGAAATTAATTGTTAGAAATGATCTATAAAAATAAAAAGTTATCTATAAAAAAAGTGTTGATCTCTCTATTAAACAATACTTGGGAAATAGTTGGGAAACATTTGAAGAAGAATCATAATTAGCGTACCAATATACACGTAAAAAAAAAAATTATTTAATTATTATTAATTATTATTATTTAGATTAGGGATGTCAAACTCAATTCCTGGAGGGCCGCAGCCCTGCACAGTTTAATTCCAACCCTCTCCAACACACTTACCTGTTGGTTTCAAACAAGCCTAAATAACTCAATTAGTTTGGTCAGGTTTGTTTAATCAGGGTTGAAACTAAACTTTGCAGGGCTGCGGCCCTCCAGGAATTAAGTTGACAACCCTGAGTTATGTAACTGAGGCCAGCTAGTAAGTGCTGTGCAGGTAAACCTCACTCCTCTGACCTCTAAAGGTGCTCTTGCGACAGACGCTAGAGGCCATGGTTTAGCCTCCTTGTTAGAGCAACTGACTCCCATGTGGAAGTTCGCCGGTTCGATACCAGCTCGGAGCTGATTGGGTGGCGTAAGACCCGCGGGGTTACCTTTAGACGGTAAAATAAAACTGTACAAATGCTACAGTATCATCTGTAAGCTGCTAAACAGTACGTTTCCGTAATATATAGGGTTAATAACAACTGTAAACTAACTTTCCCAGAATTCCCTGGCACTTCAATTGTTATGCTTTTTGTTGAGATTACTATGGCTCTTTTATATACATAAATATGTGATGTGTAGATACAAAACACTGGTGTATAACACTATAAGTCAATGAAATAGGGTAGTTTACTGTAACATTTAGAAAAGAAATATTTTCCACTGTATTTTTCACCCCCAATTAGACAGATTTTCTTAGTGTGAAACTCGATTCCTGGCTTGTGTTTTTTTTTTCTTTATAAATCGTAAACTGTGCAGCATGGTAACTTAGTGGTGTTTCCTCACATTAAGAAGGTCGCTGGTTCGAGTCTCCGCTAAACCAGTTGGCATTTCTGTTTGCATTTGGAGTTTGCATGTTATCTCTGTGTTCTTGTGGATTAAACTGCTCCAGTTTAAAGACATGCGCTACAAGTGAATTGAATAAACTAAATTGGCCCTTGTATATGAGTATGAGAGTGTGTGTAAGTGAGTGTGTACTGGGTTGTAGCTGGAAGGGCATCCGCTAAGTAAAAAGCATATGCTGGAATAGTTGGCAGTTCATTCCGCTTTGGTGACCTCTGAAATAGAGACTAAGCTGAAGGAAAGTGATGATTGAAATTGTAAACTTGCAAGACTCGGCCCTAAATACAGTAAGTGGAAGAAAATGACTGAACGTGTGAATGGCTATTAAATGTGTTTTATTTAATGCATTTGAGGTTTGTTTTCATCAGCTCACAATAACAACTATATATAATTACTATTGCAATAACTAATATAATTGGTATCCCCATATTGCAATAATCTTGATTGCTTTATAGAATGCACTCAGGAATTTAAATATAATATTATTTAGATCTCCCGTCTTTTTATATAGACTTCAAATATAGCACTATTTATTTTAACATATAAAAGCAACACTAAGAACACTTTCTCTGGTGTCAAGATGACGGCGCTTTCCACGCAAATGTCTGTTTTAACATAATGAGATGGTGTAAATTAGTCTTTGACAGTGCATGTAAGAGCCAGAGCTTCATAGGCAAAACAGCTTTCTCTCCAAGAATGGCTTTCACAGTCCTAAATATACTTTGCTATAAAGCAAACATAAACAATGGCTGGATGAAATATTTACCAACACTGTAGAAACTTCAGCAAACACCACACCTCTCCAATGTTGTGCCAGACTACAGATTGGTATAAATTATTTGTTGTCTTTGTTTTAGCGGCTCGTTCTCAAGAAAAGCAGCTGTTCACCTACTAACACTCTGTCGTATCTACTCTGTAGTAGGACTGTGCAGAATGTATACAATATTTATATCAAAATAAAAAGTTTCATATTTTGCTCTACTCTTTATTTTGTGGTGTCACACTGTTTTCAGTAATCTATATATTATAGACAGACAGAAACAAAATTTCCGCATTGTGAGAAAGTTGTACAATTTATATATTGTAGTCACGTTGGCAATATATACAGTTGTGTGAAAAAGTGTTTTGCAATTACTGTTTTTCTTTTTTTTGTCTTTTTTTTGTTGCATGTTTGTCACACTTTAATTATACAGATTACCTATTTTGCCAAAAGTTATGGGATCATCAAGATGTTTTCTGACAAAACTGAGACGAGACTTTAAGGTTTTGTTGTTGTTGTTTAGCATTGGCTTTTGTCTTAAAAAACATTTTTGTGCAGTCTCTTTCTTATGTTGGAGTCATGCACACTCACCTAAACGGAGACAAGTGAAACCTGATTTTTATTTATTTTATTTTTTTATGTCATTGTGGGGTCTTTTGTGACCTCTTGGATAAGTTGTCAATGCGCTCTTGGGGTAGTTTTGGCTGGCTGGTCACTTTTGGGAAAGTTCTTCACTGTTCTATTGTTCATAGAAATTTGCCGTCCCATAGCTTTACAACCTTTTCCAGACTAGTAGATCTCAAATATTTTCTTTTTCATTTGTTTTCAGGGGTTAAAGGGGTAAAAAAAAATCTTATGGGGTGGAGAGAAAAAAACTTACTTCAAATATTGACGATAACAACAAAAATAAAGTAACAAGAACTTAAAGTGCTTAAAAAACTGGTAAACTGAGACTGAGATAGACTCTCTTCAATGATTATGCTTTGCACACTTTATTTAAAAGTTCTATGCCAAATAAAGTGTTTTCTTCTAAACAATAACAAGTGATTAACGTGCTTAAATAACACATGCTCAAAGTGCTAAAGAACTAAACTGCTAAACTGAAGATTAGAAGTGAATTCAAGGCCATTATCACTTGTCAATTATTTTTTCTGCATTTTTAGCAAAGTCCTCCAAACTCTGTCTATTTAAGACATTTGGACCAGAAGATGGAGCTGGTACAGTGAAGGAGGCTGAGGGTCTGCTGTTTGTTCAAACATGTTTTTGTTTTTTTTCTATCTATCAGGCTACCTCAAATCGATCGCTCCACCGGAAATATGCATTTAATTAATGCTCTGATGTTATTATTATTTCACACAACCTCTGTCAACATTTTTAAGAAAAGTCTTCATATTGAAGATTATGTCTCCTGAATATGACTTATTTCCTCTGTCTCGCTCGCGGTTCATGTGTGCGCGGCTGCGCGCTGCATGTCATGAAAGAAAATGACAAGAACCCCAAGGCTTATATGTTGACTTAAGCTATAAAGTCATTTAATAGCTATATTTAAGCTATAAAATGAAAGCCTCAGTTTGGTGCGGAGTTATCAGTACACAAAAATAAAGAAAATCTTTCGATGATTTGATTCGTAAATTCTGTACGCTATTTTAAAAACTGTTCATATTTAAGAACTATTAATAACTGTGATTTTCAAATAAAAAAAAGGTGGTTTGTTGGTTGTACACTCAATCATCAATAGCCTGTTTGTTACGTTTATAATGCGGCTCCATGCAGGGCTGGTTTATGTCAACTCATCTGTGTTAAACTGTAACCAGAAATATCCTTCTTTCATTTTGCTTCTTTGGCAAAATACGTCTGTAGACACATGTGTTTGCACGTGTTACTGTCCCCCAAGTTATCTAATATTTATTGCACATTTAGGGGCCCATCACAAAGAGCACGCCTTTCCGTTCCAAAACGCGAGGAGTGCCGCAATGCCTTTATTGTTGACAAGACAAACAAATCCAGAATTTCTTAATTTTTTCATTCAATCATACCATATGTTTCTGCCTATTATTTTACAATTAAAGAATTAGTGGAATTTGATATCCCAAGTCGGGAGTCTACCGCAAATGCACAGACTTCCGGATCCCTGCAAATGAGTGACAATCTCCCGAAAATCGCGTGTCTCCCTCCTGGTCCTCAAATAAGTTGCGCACCCTTCTCACCCCTCCCCACCGTGTCCCTTCTTGCTTTTCAGACACGTCACACACACCCTGTCAAACACCAATCCGTTTAGAAACTTTGCCGTATGAAAGCGAACTGCACCCGGAACAAAGAGCAACAATGTAACAATTTTAATCCCCATTTCAGAACAAATGAATCAGTTCGCAGATGTGAAAGCACAATAAAACAGTTTTTAGAAACCTTTATCAGATTGCTTCCCCACAAACAAGGAAAGGGTGAAAATTACAAGAAAATCACAAGACATTGTGTCAGAAAAATAATTCCAGACATTTCATTTTGCATGCGATTGACATCAAATTCAAAACATATACGTAGGACAACTCAACTGTGTTCGCCAGGACTAATTTTACATATTTGTTTATGAAACAATAAAATGTTTAGTGCGGTGCAATTTTTTTACATTACTTAAGCATCTATAACTTTTTTTCATTTTGAGCATTATAAACTCTAGATGATGGATAATAAAGAAGTGTCTTCTTTCCAAAGATACCTGCACTGTGAATTTAGACCAAAATATTCAGCAACTGTTAATGTTTTAGTTTGGGATGGTAATTTTTGAGAAAGTGCCTCTGACGGTAGGAGGAAAAGAAGGACAGTGATATAGTCTCAGAAAACATTTTACATAAACCTCATTTGCATGCTTGCTCAATCAAATTTGAAATATAAACTCATGAAATTACTATTTTTTTCAAGTCACATTTTTTGTAGGACATTACATTAATGTTTTCCTGTGTTTGTATAAGGAAAACAACCCTAACCCTAACATGTAACTTCCCCTTTACCAAAGTAAAGATCAAAGTGTCTTCTTTCTAATGATACATAATATGTGTTTGTAGCTTACTGGAGTCAGAAACAGTTACTATTTAAAGTTAGCTAGGTGTAAATAGTAAGTTGATTATTTTAAGCATCGTAAATTAAACCGCATGCGCAGGCTCTAAAAAAAAAAATATATATATATATATATATATATATATATATATATATATATATATATATATATATATATATATATATATATATATATATCCCCTCAAGGCCGCACACAAGATCCGGCATTGTGCCGAAACACTTTAAGCCTTTTGGCATGATGTCTAGCTTTTGAGGATCTTTTGGTCTACTCCACTTTATCAGGCATGTCCTATTTTAGTGATTTGTTGATTGGGAACAGCTGTGGCAGTAATCAGGCCTGGATGTGGCTAGAGTAATTGACTTCAGGAATGTGAAGAATAAAAACCTTAATTCCAAAACTGTGTGATGTGTTTATTTGTGCTATCTTTGACTATAAATGATCTGAAACATTAAAGTCTAACAGACAGGCAAAATATAAGGGGGCAAACATTTTTTCACACCACTGTATAAATAAAAAATGTATTCAATTTACGGAAATTGAGCTACATTGTGATATATATTGTTATCAGGAAATGGGATTAATAATATCCCAATATGAAATTTTTGTCATATAGCTCAGCCCTACTAAATAGTACAACGGTGTCCAAACTCGATCCTGGGGGGTTGGTTTCCTGGTGAGTTTAGCTCCAACTTGCTTCAACACACCTGCCAGGAAGTTTCTAGCATATCAAATAAGAGCTTGATTAGCTGCTTTAGGTGTGTTTGATTGGGGTTGGAGGTAAACTCTCCAGGACACTGGCCCTTCAGGATCAAGTTTGGACACCCCTGATATAGTATAATGTTTTCTTTAGCATTAGTCATAATCAATTAAATGAATTATTAATGGGGAAGTATTGTAACACCATTTGTTTTCTCCCCTAATAGGTGTTATGGGGGAATATGAGCCTAAAATTGAGGTTCATTTCTCTGATATGGTTCCAGCAGCAAAAGGATCAGTTGTGACACTGGAGTGTTTTGCTTTGGGAAAGTAAGTGGAATTTTGCACTCTTTTGTAGTTACTGATGTCGATTCACTCATTTACGGCTATCCCGACTTTTAATGCTAGTCTGTCACTGAGCTTAATGTGTTTTTCAGCTTGGCCCTTTTCCACCTCCTTTCGCCACCTTTTAAAAAGGCTTGTCAAAGTCTGTTTGGGAAATACCACATAACAGTCTATTTTTTTTTTTTTGCCTGGAGGCAATTTTTCTGTCTCAATTGATCCCATTAGCGGATGAGCCATATACGTTTTTCTTGCAAAAAGAAATGAGATGGTGTCTTATGAGCAAAATGTAACTCATTTAGCATGTTAGAGCTGAGATGTGAGGGGGAACGACAGTAATTTACAATATAATGGAATTATACAAAATTCACGTTCTCTATCTTCATATTTTCGGTATCTCTGCTTCTTTTTTTCCCCTCTCTCTGTGTAGCTTTTTCATTTTCTCTCTTGCAAGATTACTCACCGCAGTTTTTTTTTTTTTTTTTTTTCAACTACGTTCAGCCCAGTTCCAGAGATAACATGGAGGAGGGCGAATGCAGTGCCGTTTCCCAGCAAGGTGAAGATGAAGAACTCAAATGTAGTTCTGGAGATTCCCAGTTTCCAGCAGGAAGACGCCGGAGGCTATGAATGTGTGGCAGAGAACAAGATGGGAAAGAACACAGTGCAAGGACGACTGTCTTTCCACGGTATGATTGTTTCAATTAGAGAATATTTAAATGTAGTGTACATGGCAGGATTATATTTTGATATTTAAATTCACCACATATTTCTTGCGGTAAAATATTATACTATATGTAGAGTCTTGCAGTAAAATCAATGAAAGTTTTTTGGTTTTGATTTGCTATGGCAAAACAATTGCACTCAGACTAGTATTTTTTTCCTTTTTAAAATATTTCCTAAATGCTGTTTAACAGAGCAACATTGATCTCTGCTCTGTTGACTTTTGATGTTACAAATTTAACTGCAATTTAACAGAGACACTTTTTGACATTTTAATAGTTTGAAACAATTCTAGCTCAATCAACTCCTAATTTGCTGTTCATTAATAGTTATTAAGGTAAGGGAAAATCATGCAGTATCATAGTATGCCATTTCAAAGTACTACTTAAAAAGCCAACATCTTGATAATAGCCACTGTAGTTGAAGGGTTATGAAGCCCGCCTGTCTCAGCAGGGTGTTTTCACACCTCTAGTTTGAAAAAAGTCAGGAAAGTGTGTGAGTTCAGCTTTGTTTAGGTGGGAGTGTCAAATGACGAAAGAGGGAAGGCTTTGCGTGAAATGGGGAGTTTCATTATATGCATATGCTGATTTTCACACCAGCAACACAAACACAGACGCAGGGGAGATGGGCAGTGTTTTGGAGGGCAGCATTTACAGCGGATCTGAGAGCTGTTTGAAAGAGAAGATTTTTAGTTCATAATATTGTAGTGATATTACTGTAAACTTAGTAACTAAATCATTTTGACCAAGATATGTCTTTAAAAACTGAAAGAGTACTGCTGACAATACTAACTAACTTTGCCATCTGAATAAACATAAACAATGAACACTAACCACACACTTACCAAATTTGTAGAGACAGGGCAATCAACACCAACTGGAACTGTGTATTTTTTTTTAAAGTAGATGAGTGGCAGATCCGGATTTTACCATTTCCCATTTCGAAAAGCTCTCGGGTTAAAAATGTTCCTTACAGTCATATTTTTGTTGCATGTTAGCAACCCACTGTAATCCACACATGTGGGTCCACACGCAAGCGATCCTCTCATCAAGGGAAATATAAACAAAACCACATTTATTATCGCAACACTGACAACCCATGTCTCCAAACAATTCTTCTTCTACTTGTTTGAATTACAGTTGGAAACACAACGTGGTGTCTTTCTGAACACTGTAACAGGTTAAAAGAGTCTTCGAAGGTATATCATGCATATTAATCAAGTTGCGTCTCATTCACACTAGAGCGCACTGATTGGTTAAAACCAAGTCTTTCTCGTGAACTACAGAACAGATGTGCTAAAAACTCAATGACATCACTTTTTACTGGACGGTACATACATCCAATCTCCATGCTGGAAGTTACACAAAAATCTCGATGCCGTGATGTAGCTTCAAAAATTTATTTTTAAATCAGTAAAGCAGATTTGTTCTAAAAAATGCAAAAACAACCAATTTTCACTTTTTAGTGAAATAGGTGTATCCTAATAGTGTTTTTAGCAGTGTGGGATACATATGACTGTCAGCGTCTCAAAAAATGCATTTTGTTGTTTCGTGACCCATTAAGAATAAAAATACTGTACTTAGACTAAAGTGTTATCATATCATATATTTACCTTTAGCCACAAATGGACAATTTCCAAACAATTTAGTCTGTACATCGGCATTAAGATAGTTTTTATATCAGTTGATAGCTCTGATAAATCAATGAAACAGTTACAGCTTATAAACATGTTTTAAATTGTTGCTTTGGATTTACTTTTTTGCCTTTTCCTTGTAGTTTTAAAGTAATTTTAAATAGTACGGTGGAGGGGGAAGTATTCAACATGTCAAGTTTTGGAAATATTATTTCTTAAGGAGCTGTTGATGTGGAATTAAACTAGATTTTGATAAAACCCCAAACAATGCAAACATGAAAATGACATAATAAAAAAAAATCTGAAAAAAAAGGTTATGTGTAATAACAGTTTAATGACACAAGGAGAATAGACTGACCTACTGAAATGTATTAAATAAATTTTTAAAACCTTTATTTATATTTATATTTAAGTATATTTATATATATTAAAATATTTATATATTTAAATATATTTAATATCTTTATATAAAGGGGTTTTGTTGGTGATGACAGCTTAAAGACGTCTCTCATATGGATAATAAAGTCACATCCATTGCTTAGGTGGGGTTTTTTAAAAGTGTGTAAAAATCTTGATGGCTTTGTGGGTCTCGTCTGTCAAATCTGATTTTTTTTTTCGTATTCTCTATTGGATTTAGGTCAGGTGATTGGGTGGGCCATTCTACAGCTTGATTTGCTTTCTCTAAAAGCATTTGAGAGTTCCCTTGGCTGCGTTTTCAATTTTTATCTTGCTAAAATGTGCCTGGTTTCATCTTCATCATCCTGATAAAGTATATGTTGGACTAAAGCAGTCAAATTCATTTACAATGGCGAAGGGCAGAAGGTTGCTGAATTAATTCTTAAAGATTTAATCTCCTGTCTGGGCATTCACTGCCTTTCTACATCTCCCTTTCTTCATGTGTTCAATACTTTTTTTTCTGTGTCATTTTATTTTATTACACATAACTTAATTAGTAACTAATCCGATTTATTTTCTTTGCAAATATGGATGTTTTTGGTTGTTACCAACATCTGGTCAAAAATTCAAGTCAACAGTACCTTTAGAAATATGTTTTCTGAGAAAAAAGTTAACTGTTTCATACTTATTTCCTGCACTGTATGTACAAGTTATTTTCAAAAACAAAAAATATACTGTCAGTTTATTACCAGATTTTTGAACATCAATCCAGACAATATATCACTTCTTTTTATTTTAAATGTCGTTAATGTCACTTTTTTCAATCTTACTAACATCAAAACATATTGGAGGAAAGATCAAGGTTCACTGTGTACTGTACATGATGATGTTGTGCTACAGTAGATACTCGTTATAAGTGGTGTTCATTTGGGCTATTGTTTGACCAGATTAACAGGATATCTGTAGCACTCGCAAATGCTGTTCTTTGCCATATTGTTGCTTCTATCATTGAAATGTATTCCTGACACACATATTGTTGTCATGGCCATTCAGATTCTTGCCAGCATCTCCCATGAGAGATCCTGCCAGTTTAGTCATTTCACAACTACAGTGAATTAATTAATGATTAGTTTCTGCCCTGTCTAGGCTTTTCTTATAGTTTCCATAATGGCATAGTAAAGACCTGAATAAATGGAGCTCACGTAATGGATTTGGCAGAGCGATGTTGCATCGTGCCAAAACTCAGCAGTGCTAAATGCTAATTTGAGACAGTTTTGTTGATCCAGAGAGGTGTCAAATGGCAAGATTTACAGCTATTACACAGCCAAATCATAGATAGAGATATAATAAAAAATAGATGGATGGATGTTTGGAAGGAGCGAAGCAAAGAAGGAATAGATGGATAGATGGATGGATGGATGGATGGATGGATGGATGGATGGATGACAATATAGGATGCATATTTTAGTATTCAGATACAGTGTATTAAGTTTTTTTGCTTTAAGATTGAAGAATGGATGTATGGATGGATGCATAATTATGGACTTTAGGGTTGATTACAGGACATTTATTTAGGTATGTGATTTGTATTTTGCTTTAAGATGGATGGATGGATGGATGGATGGATGGATGGATGGATGGATGGATGGATGGATGATATAGAATGCATATTTGGATATTTAATGTATATTCAGAAACAGTGTATGATGTTTATTTGCTTTTGGATGCAAGAAGGAATGGATGGATGGATGGATGGATGGATGGATGGATGGATGGATGGATGGATGGATGGATGGATGGATGGATGGATGGATGGATGGATGGATGGATGGATGGATGGATGGATGGATGGATGGATGGATGGATGGATGGATGGATGGATATTTATGGAATTTAAGATAGATTGAATGAAATTTATTTAGATACAGTTTATTATGTTTATTTGCTTTAGGATGGATGGATGGATGGATGGATGGATGGATGGATGGATGGATGGATGGATGGATGGATGGATGTATGAGGATATAGGATGTATATTTGGATATTTGAAGTATATTCAGATTGAAATATTTATTTGCTTTAGTATGGATGGATGGATGGATGGATAAATATGGCCTTGAAGATCGATGGAAGGACAATTATTTAGATATATGATGTTTATTTGCTTTAGAATGGAATGATGGATGGATGGATGGATGGATGGATGGATGGATGGATGGATGATATAGGATACATATTTGGATATTTGATGCACATTTAGATACAGTGTATGGTACTTATTTGCTTATGGATGGATGGATGGATGGATGGATATGGGTGGATGGATGGACAGATGGATGGATGGCTTGGTAGAGGATAATTATGTAATTGAAAGATGGATGGAAGGATTTATATTAAGATACATGATGTTGATGTGCTTTAAGAAAGATGTATGGTGATGATTATGGATGGATGGATGGATGGATGGATGGATGATGATGAAATGGAAGATGAATGGAAGGATATATTCAGATATATGATGTTTAATTGATTTAAGATGTATGCATGGAGGGATGGTGGATTTTAAAATAGTTAATAAGGCTTAAGACATATTATGATAAAATAGATATATTTATTTTAATAGATTCACTTTATTAGTTTTAGGATGAATGGCGACAGCAGATGGATAATAGATACAACAAACATTCAGCCTTTCTCGTTCTTTATAAGTGTAGACACATAAATGTACCATTTTTACATGCAGCACTATAACATGTATGTATTATGCATATACAACTAAGAAACATAATCTATGAATCTTTCATGTCAGGAAGCTTTTATGAATGTCCTTTCTTTCTTTTATTAAGTAAATAATTTAGATTTAACCCTCAGATCACTTAACCCCTACCCCCAAACCTGAACATAACCATTTTCACAGTAAAACAAAAAGCAAATGCG